AACAACAACAACAACAACAATTTCAGACAATTTCTCATTTCAAAAGTTTATGGATTACACCTGGGCTTCCACAAGAAAAAGACTGACCACACGATTATAAAGACATGGAAAGATCTATCAGAGAAGATACTTGGATGGTCAACAGACAAATGAAGAAATGCTCAAAAATGACTGGCAATAAGAGAGATGCAGATCAAAACTACAATGAGGTACCATCTCATTACAGCAGCAATGGCAAAGTTTAACAGGACAGCAAGTAATAAATGTTGGAGAAGTTGTGGAGAGGTAGGAACTCATATACATTGTTGATGGGATTTTAAAATGGTGCAATCATTCTGGAAGGTGGTTTGGCGTTTCCTCAAAAAACTGAACATAGGAATTTCCTATGACTCAGCTATTCCACTACTTGAAATATACCCTGAGAAAATGAGAACTGAGGCACAAATTAAGACTTGTAAAGCACCAATGCTCATAGCAGTGTTATTCACTATCTCAAGTACACGGAAACAGCCCAAATGTTCAACTACGATTGAATGGATTGAGAAATTATGGTACATTCATAAGATGGAATACTATGCAGCACATAGGAACAATGATTTTGTAAATTACCACGTAACTTAGGGGGAACTGGAGAGCATTATGCTAAGTGAACTAACTCAGTCCCATAAGGACAAATATTGTATAAGACCATTATTGTAGAACAAATATGAGGATCCATGAGGGTGGAGGAAAGTGGGAGCATGGGAGTGAAGATGTGCAGGGGTTGGGGGCGATTAATCATAGGGTGGCACAAACTGATGGGTGAAGGGAGAGGTGGGGTGAAGCAAATGGGAAAGATCTGGTGTGGAAGAACCATGTATACGAACTCTGTAAATAGATCAATATCTAGAAAATAAAAACAATATTAAAAATCTCACCCCAACATTGCCTTATAAAAATTCAATGTGAGATACTATGAACCATTTATATGTATATGTAACTTAGAAGATTCTAGCTGTTGTGTTGTTATGAGTCTACTACGACTCATAGAATTTAACTCAATATCCAAAATACTTTCACCTCAATAAAGAAACAACAAGCAAAAAAACTCCACAAAACCACAAAATAAAAAACACAATAAGCCCTTTAATATCCCTACATGCTAAGGATTACGTCATGACGTAGTGGAGCGTCTTGTCACAGCCCCTTCAAAAGGAGCTTCCTTGTCGCACGCAGGTTAGTCAGTCAGCGTGTCCGCTGCGTTTCAGGTGAGATTGGGCACTTTCACTTTCTATGGTGGCCCGATAGCAAATTCTCCACAAAGGGAGCTGGGCTATGTTTGTTTCCGTAGTTTTAGGTTCACGTGAAAGAAACTTAAGAGTTAGTGATTTTCGTGGACAGAGGGGAAGGTATATCAGAAACTCCCGGGCCGCTTGGCGCGCAGTGACCCGGGCGGCGCCCGGTGGGTGTGCAGGTTTGGGTAGTAGGGGGTCGGGTTTGGGGAGTAGGGGTCGGAGTAGTGGAGCCCCAGGGCGGGGAGGGGCGTGTCCTGAAGGTTCTGTTAGCGGAGCGGTGGGGAGTAGGGCGTGGGGATTAGGGGGAGTGGGGAGCGTAGGGGGTTGGGGGTTGAGGATCCAGACTAGGGGCCTGTAAACTGTATTTTAAACTCACCAGTTGCTCGCTGGAAGCAGGATAGGCCGTCTGCCCTTGGATTTATTACTCCGAAAACTTGCAGTTCGTTCCTCTGGGTCACTTCCGACTCGTTTGTACACAACAGTGTGTTCTGCCCCTGTTTAGATAAGCTACAACATTTTGCTTGTATGCAAATAGAAACGATTGTTGTTGCGTACCGCAGAGTCGGAACCAACCCATAGCTGACCATCCATCGGGTTTTCAGAGGTAGTTAATCTCACGGGAAGAGGCTGGTGGTCTCGAACTGCTTGCCTTTGCGATTGCGGCGCAGCTTTTTGCCTCTAGGCCACCGAAACTCCTATAGTAATGGTAGTGTTCGATAATTTCGACATTTTGTGAGATCACTTCTCTTGGAAACAGGTACGAATCTCTTGCATCCAGCCTGCAAGGCTGGTGGCCCCCGAAGTTTCTGGCTTATACTGGTGAGCACGTTCAGGGCTGAATCTGTTACTTGGAACCTGTCCGTTTGTGTCCTGTCACATTCCTGGGGGCCCAGATCCCCCCACCCTCCCAGTGCTTTCAGTGCAGCCTGGACTGCTTCCTTCATTACCACTGATCTTTATCTTATGGTTCTTCCTGAAATATTTCAGCATCAGCAAATTCTTTTCAGTACAAGGACTTTTGTGTAGTTCCGCCATCTTATATTGATGTTTTCTAGACCGTTGGATATTTTGCCAATAGAATCTCTCACTGTTTCAGCTTGGATTTGTTTTTTAGCTTCAGAAATAACGAGCGAGTTCCTCCTTTTTATTCTCAAGTTCCAGCTCTCTGTACATTCTTTTATAGTTCTTTGGTTTGTCCTCTCAAGCTGCACTTTGAAATCTTCCGTTCAGTTCTTTTACTTCAGCATTTCTTCCTTTTGTTTTGGCTTCTTGACATTCTGACATACTAGTGTAATTTTAAGGGTCTTTTTTAACAACCGTTTTGGGATT